ATTATAGTAATATAGGCAATATAATATGCTATATCTATTATAAAAGGTAATAATGTAATATAATAAAATGTTAATTATAATAAATAAATAACTGAACCGCAATGAAAAATGTCCAAAGCAATAACGACCATGTTGGTATGAATTAAATAGAGTAGAAGTTCATTTAAACTGATGAAACTACACAATTATTTAGGTGCTAGATAAATATTTACCGGAATATACAAACAGACTAGACAACAATTTCATTCAGAATAACAAAGTTTTGATTGAAAACGTGGTAGGTAACAACATTGTTATCACTATTTATATAAGCCTATTAAGTATTAATTGAGATAAAACGACCTCACAAAAAACCGGCGTAAAGCAACACTTACTGCTGCTAGGCAACCTTAGGGTTTAGTGGGAAATCAGCGAAACTAGGCTTGTGTAAAGATGAATATAATCAGATTTAAAATTTAAGTGAAACGAATATTGGAAAATACACAGTTATTTTAAAAAGAATTCATTTTAAATCCACATATAATATTCACACGAAATGTAATCTCAATATGAGATTATAATCTCCGGCAACCGTAGACGCGGGTCTGCGGACGGCCTCAAAGAACCAATAGTCCGCCACGGACGGGGCCCTATAGGGCTGATGTTCAACCGGGGTTACGGGGCAACTCGGCCTAAAGTAGGACAAGGAACTGGGGGTTTTTAGTCATTCAACGTAGATATGTAAAAACTAATTATTAGAGATAAGTGAACTACTTTTGTATTCAGCTCTACGCAATTATATTAAAACAGTTTAGAACAAATGTTTAATTCGTTCAAATGGTAAGTACATACAATGTTTTATGAGCCACACACTAGTTCACACCTACAGAGAACAGAAAACAAGAGAGAAAAGCAGGATGCTTCAAATTTCTGATAACTCGTTAAAATTGTTTCCAAAATATCAGTGTACGACAGGGGATAACTTCATTAGTTTTATTTTTAACCTGCAATGAACGCCTGGAGGGGAAAAATTTGTCGCCTAACATTTTATCATGGCCGCCAACTTGGTAATTGGTTAGTTCAGTAATTAAATCTGTTGCTGCTGACACAGTGTCAAGCTGGGCTTTTGTAGTTGCTACTATTTACTTACTAAAATTTTACTCATCGTGTGTTAGGTATATTGTGTTATATTTAAGTATTACCTACCAACTTGCCTTAATGGTTGCCGTCGTCATGGAGAACGAGTCTCTTGTTAGATTGACTTTTCCGCCCAAAGAAATTCTAATAATAAATAATCCTACCCATTACTGGAATTTCTTTGAAATCGGTGTATACTTCGTTACTATACACTCATCATTATTCGGAGCTTATAAGGAGCCTATAAATAGATCTCATTTTATGACTTTTGAATAGTCTAAGCTCACTAATAATGTTTAGTAAGAAGAAATCCAGGTGGTTCTGAGAAAAATACTTTAACTATTAGTTACAGAACGGCTTATGAAGAAGATAACGGTCTTAACTACTGTCCACAAATCATTAATACGATTGTGCTTGTTGCAGCATCTAAAGATTCAAAATTCCTTATTCAAAATATTAATATTTATAACGTAGGTAGCTGCGGACTTCGCCGGTTCAGATTTTTTTTTTGCAAGTCGGAGTATATTTATTTTGTTATTTTTGGAACTCCCACCTTTATCGCTATAATATCAAATACTGCTCTGTGGTATGTCTTGTTATTAGAAAATAAATATGTTACCGTAAAAGCAAATAAAGTTATCTGCATTGCATATAATTTAAAGAAGCGCATTGGTTTGGATAATCAAAAAAAAAAATTCAAACTCATATCTGAAGTTACACAAGTGCAAAAACCTATTCGAATGCGAAAAAACTCCAAATGAGTTGGTCAAAGGCGACTTTGTAAATAACTCTTGAAAGTTTTTCGTGTGTAAAATGATATCTTCCGCAATCTAGCTTAGTGTTAAAAAATTTAATGTAAAAAGTTTGTGCCGATGTTGGATAGCTAAACACGACCAAATGGCTGAACTGCGAGTAAAGCTGGACGAGTTTCCTTTGACAGAGCAAGTGTATGAGTTTGAGTACATTACTACTTGTTTTGTTTTTACAAAGTTAAATAGGCACTGTACCTAATAAATACAACAAGTTATATACTCGCCAAGTATATCTATAGATTACACGTTAATCCCAGGCAGTCACAGGTAATCAGTTCTCCTTACATGTTTCCTCCTTAGAAGTTAATACGACAGTTTACAACTAGGGAGCCAAATTAATAATTAATTAAGTGATGTTTTATGGGTTATTTGCTACCAATTGGAATAAGTATTACTTAAATCTTACTCTCCAAAGTACAAGAGGTTAACTTATAGGTAGTATTTATCTCGAAAATACATTAAAAAATATAGAGAAAAAACATCTAATTCGTGAAAACAATTAAAATAAAAATTGGAATTAGGTATTTTTCGACATTTTATTGCGTTAAAAAGTCATAAATAATTTAGACTGGCTAAATAAATACTTATTTATTCTTTTTTAAAACACACGGGCATTGATGTAGCTATTCAGTGGTGAACTTTCAGATATGATGCTAAGATTACCTACCTGAATAAAGATACACTGTGAATAGGTCCGTCTCAACGCTCCAGGGAATCATTTCTTTCCTAACATGCGGGAAGCTCGCGGTAATGTAATTACCGTAAAACAGAATGAATACAACCTAAAGATTCCAAAGATGGAACGGACGAAACTGAATTTCCATTAAAGAACTGGATACGGAACCTTATTTCAAGGTAGAATGTACTGTTTGGATTTCTGTAGTACCCCAAACAGCCATTTTCAAAGTGTCGGTAAACTAATTGGGATGTACAAGTTGGGGATTTCGGTTTGTAAGAAAATGTTGTGGATATAAGCTGATGGTACGGTAGGTCATTCACATCACATCACATCATCAGCCCATAAGTCACATCACAGCATCACACGGAAAAGGTTTGAGCATTAATCACCACGCTTGCTCAATGCGGGTTGGCAATTTCAAACGTATAATTAGAGATTATAAGTCCGGGTTACCTCACTCATTCATTATTGTATTATTTTCTTTTTAATGTGCGTCGCCCATGGACATCCGCAACACCAGATGTTCGGGTATGTTGCCGGTTGCCAGCTATTTGGGGTTAAGGGTTTCGGAGACTTAGGGATGCGGGAATAACCAAGAGAAGAGAAGGATTGGGCTTTATGTCACTCATAAGATAAAACACAACGCTGTGGTTGTTTTACTCCTATTTTCTGTGACGCAGTGGCAGCCCTCTCTCGGCTCTCACACACTTCACCCACGACCCAGAAAAAAATTGTAATGACTGGTACATTTTTCAAAAATAAATAGAATTATTTTAATAGGGTATTGTTGTGTGATTTTTAAATTTTTGTGTCCGTCTTTAGATTTCTTCAAAGCATTATACTTATACATATACAACTATTTTTTATTTTCTTACGGAATTAATTTTTTTAAATCCTACCTACGTGCGCCATCGCGTCGTTAGGTGTCCTTGTTAGGTACTATGTGGTGAAGTGGCGATCTCCCATCCTAAACTTAATATCGTTTGATATAGGTAGGTACCTAATAAGGTAGGTAAGTATAATAGTATTTTGGACGGAAAGTAAAATTTAGTAGGTTATCACTTTATTAGGCCGCAAGCGTAATTAAATATCTCACATCTCCCCTTATTTGTAGTTTACAGACCTTCGTAATGCGAATATAATAAATTCACCATTTCAGGAACCTATAGTGCCAACTATATCACTGGCGATGACTAATCGATACCTCTTGCTAGACGATAAGCATTATAAAAAAAACCTTTTTCCTATTTTAATTTTATTTCGTCCTTCGTAATTGCTATGTAGGTACGCTATCCTATGTAGATATAATGTAGGTACCTACCTACAATTACAGCCAGTAATTATTAGGTATTGTATGATACCTAATAAAATTATCACCGTGCTCGGTATTCAATTTGATACTACATAATAGGTAATAACCCACAATCCCTAATTAACTTCCTGGTTTCAGTGTTGCAAGCCGCCTGCTTCGTATTTTTGGATTCAAATATACCGACCTTTTTGCAGATATGTAAGATTCCTACTTCCATTTTTTATATCACCAGCCTTAATATACATATATTTCAGCCCTTAAACCAACTTTTGGTCAAAGGCCTTCTTCTCATATAGGTACTTACCTAAAGAACGAAAGAGGATTAATCACCACGCATGGAAATATACATTTGATCATATTTAATGCCCCATCTTGTAACGATCATGAGGCGTATTTATTTAAAACAATATAATATTTTTATTTATAAACGATCACAGTATTAACCTGTTTTTATTACAACGGGGCTTTTCCATGCTAACCATTAGGAAACCATTTTTAGTGGCATCACAGAGAATATTATAATATAAGGAAATTGTATCTAATAATAATTAAATAATATTATTCGTAGCTTGATAAATTGTCATAAACCTACATAACATAAATTAATATTGTGTCTGCGCCTATAAGATTTATTGGACTCGTGTACCATGCGGTTGTAAAACAATTGCACTATTTGATCAGGCGCTAATAAAAATTTTTGCTTAGTGACAGTGCATGCACTTTAGGTACAAAACTACCTCATTGATAATTAGCTAGGGCTTTCGTTAAATCCTCACCTCACCTGAGGTTATTGAGTATTGTGCAATGCCTTACTTACGCTTTCGTTTTTTGAAAATACTCAATTTTACTTCATACTTAGACACTGTTGTAGTCTCTTAGCAACATCTTACTTAGTGACATCTTGGTCAAATCACAAATTCAATAGGATGTAAGCTATAAATCATTAAATCACATTAAATTATTATAATCGTGTAGATAGCGATCAAGGAGGGTAAAATAAAAGTTAGAAACACAGTATTGCCATACCTATAAACACAATTACATTTTCATTTTTATTACAGTTTGCAACATAACCGCTTATGTCAATTAGAAGTGTCAAAGTCAAGAACAGCTGTTATCAAAATGCCTTAGTTATCAAACTGCAAACACCCGAGAGAATGTAAATAAAGCTAATTGTTCTTAAATGAAAATTAACAAATAATTTAGCACGATGTGTTCTAAAGGAGCAGCTATAGCTGAACTATTTACGAAAGCAATTGCAACTACAAAAGGTTTCGATCAAAACCTTCGAAAGGTAAATACTGATAGTAATTTCCTTTACTAGGTTACCACGTATATTTAATTGTTATATTCGGTTAAATAATACAGTCTTCGAAGCATTATGTTTTAAGATACGAAGATTTATTTGTGTTTAATATTTGTATTGATATCGAACGTAGTTTCGCCTGCGATGACGTAATATGTTAGCAATTTTAATTTGGTATAACATTTTTCTTTTTATGAATAGTATTAGTTGTACTAACTCCAGTATTCGATATATGAAGTATTTTTTTGCTGATGAACTATAAAAAAAATATCTGTAAATTAAAGCAATCAACTGAATAGGTAAAGCAAAAAACTTGATGAGAAAATCTTACATATTTTTCAGATACTGATTATAAAAGATTGATTTGTCTATATTACAGTTGAAAGTAGTATGCTGTGATAATGGACGAATGACAACTGAATTCCAAGTTGGACCGGAACATCTTAATCAGCGTGGAACATTGCATGGTGGATTCATAGCACATTTAGTAGATGCTGTATCCACATATGCACTCACAACTAATGAAAAAGTTGACACAAGAGGAGTCTCCATAGAACTAAGTGTGAGGTACATAGGAAACAAATAAAAAACAATGTACCCAATTTGTTACAATACCCAACACAAATCATATCTGGACTTCGACTAGCGGGTGTAAATTAGCAATTTATTTCTCATATTTTATTTTTCAATTCGACACATTTTTTCTCTTTTTCTAACATTAGCTCTACTATTTTCATTTTTTTTTTCTTATTCCTACAATATAATTACAAAATATCTGACCATGGTTCGTGTTGGGGAACATATTCTGGTTTTTTTTCAATTTGATCTCATTTTTTTTCTTTTTAGCTACATGAGTGCTGCCAAAGTTGGAGATAATGTCGAAGTAGAAGCTATCACAAAGAAGGTTGGAAAGAAAATAGCTTTCCTAGAAGTCCTAGTGAAGAATAAGGATAAGAATCAGTTGTTAGCTACCGGTAGACACACTAAATATATAGGAATATAATACATCTGGCTTGTAGGTACCTAATTGTAGATATTTTGTTGTAGTAGTATAAACTAAACAGTGTTAATCCCATATGTACAAACATATTTTGTTTTAGATTTTTCTTTAAATTTTATTTAAATAAAATATTCTTATCCTGTCTATTTTCTAATTTTAAGTATTGTATTGTAGTAATAGGTTATTTAGAATCTACCTACTTCAGTTAGGAAGTACTAAAATTCACACACAAGTAATTAAATGTTTCATTTGCATCATAAAAATTTACAGTTGATTACAGCAGCTCAAATTGAAACAGGTGCTTAGTTATCTAAGGATTTAAATTGGAATAAAACAACACTTAATATTTTCACATTTTATTAAACACCCGATATATTGACACTACATTGTAACAGATTTAAAATACGGAATATAATTTTAAGCCTGCCATATCCTGACCCCTGTAAAATTACTCCCAATGGGGAGTGCCAAATTCTTAGGTCTAATAATTCGTACCGTCATAAAGGTGCTAGTTCTTGACTCTAGATATTTTAAATTCCTTATCAGTTGTCTGTGACACGATGCAAGTATTTATCCTGAGTAATCCTGACATATAAAACATTGCCGTGGAAAAGAGACAGCACTATATGTGCTATCTATACCATCACTTAGTAGACAAATTACAATATTCATTAACAAACCGAGGCACTTACATTCAAACAGACAAGATCTTACTTATCAAATAATCTAGACACCTTTATCTTTCCCAGTCATTCTTTCTTAGGTAATTAATAACTTTAATTTAATGGCTAATTTTATAATGGTAAATGCTTTAAACGTTTCATTGAACATCTACTACTACACACTACTTTTTGAGGTAGTTTTATTAACCTGCTCTTGCTTGACAAAAATGTACATGACCACTCATCTGAGACGTGAGATAAGGGCTTTAAAAATTGGATCGTTAGTTACTTCAATTGTGTACTAGGTACTACTTATTTCTATGTTGTGTGGTCTATAGGTAGGCAGTCCAGCTTTATTATGATTTCGCGTTGAAACTCGCGAAAAACGAACTTGCAACCAATCTTACTACCCCCACAACTGCGGCAGAAACAAATTAGGTATAAGTTAACACCTAAGCGCGCCTCGCGTATTACACTGGTAAAGTGCCTTGTACAAGTTTGCTTTACATAAATACCATCGACACGTTTGTGACGTTTGGTTGGCGAACTCGAGATTTAGTAACCAATCAGGGGGCTAAACGTGGTAATGTTTTTTTTTATCAGATAAGTAGATCGGCAAACGAAGAAACCTAAAATCTGATGGTAAGCGATCCGAGTCGCCCATGGGCATCCGCAACACCAAAGGAGTTACGAGTACGTTGCCGGCCTTTTGAGGATACCTACCTAAGGGTTTCGGATATTTAAGGACTGGGAAGGGATTGGGCCTCCGGAAACCTCACTCACACGGTGAAACAACGCTGTGGTTAGCTTCCGCCGGTGTGGGACCGTTTCGATAGTGTAACCGTGAAGCGAACTTACACTAGGCGCTCAATACTATGTGTCTAGTGCGAGATTGCTTTATGGTTATGCGATCAACACGTTTATAACGTTTGGCGCTTTGGTTGACCTGCTCCAAGTTAAGCAATCAGTCATAGAGCTATTTACAATAGTAAGTATTTCGATCGCGTAAAGCACACCATTACACCAGGGGTTCTGGTTAGTATTTGTTGGCTGCCACGAATACCAGTGTAGGAAGGTACCTAATTGACAATTGCTTCTGCCTGTCGTTGTCACTGCAGTGATTTTCCTTTAGCCACGATTTGAGGTGACCTGTTGATTTCAGCCATAGAGGATATAACTACTAACCATCCACCACCAGGGATTAGGTATTACGCTCATGTTCCAAATGAGTAGGTAGTAAACCAATAATTTTATTCTGACTTCGAACTTCGACTTCAACTTGTTTGCTTCATAACGTATGCTAATGCTGAATTACGTAATAATGATAGTGTTTAAGATACCTAATAGTAATGAGATAGCTACCTCAAATACTGAATAGGTGGGTAGGTACGTCTGAGGCTAAAAAACTAAGTTATTGTAGTGAAATCGAGTAAAGAGCACGCACCATGCATGGCTATTTAAGATTGAGTAATTACCATTTCGGTTTACTTTGTATAAAATAGGTTTGGTTTGCAAATATTGCCACGCCGTGAAATAGTTTAGGTAGACACGTGTCGGTAAAAATCGCCAACGGTGTATCACAGTTCTTACTCTAACAATCAAGCAATTAGCAGGTTACTAAAAGAACCTTTACAGATGAATCTTAACTTATAAAACTAATATCTCATGAAAGGATTAGTTTAATACCTATGTGTCTATGCTTTTAATCTGTGGTGAACTGAATGATGAAATGTATGGCAGGAAATCACTATTTATATTTTCAGATAGGTTAGATAGGTTAGATTAGTAGGTATCTGGGTATTTGGACTAGGTTGAAACAGGTTGTAGATGAATGAAGTTAGGTAGGTACCTAATAGGTAATACTTAGGTACAACCAACAAAATAAAATTTTAACCCAACCTCAATCCAAAATCGATTTCATTTCATTTCAGTCCTCCTAAACTCTAGAAGCATAGACATACGTTTCAGAAAGACACCTCTCTTAATAACAGTTTCCTTTTAAGTAGAAAGTTTTCAGCCTTTTTCATTTATGAATGTGGTCGTTTCAATGACCATTGACCTTCAGTTTATTATAAAAACTGACCCTGCTGGCAAATAGGAGCTTGTTAGGTATTTATAAATGTAGGACTTAAAATATGTACCTAGTCATCTATTGTTATTGCCCTCACTGAAAAAGCAATAAGTACAAGTTCATTTCAAAAAGTCCTTATGTGGTGAAGTTTCAGGGTAGGTAGATATTTTCCAAGACTACGCACATCATGACAGCTTTAACAATCTTTCATAACCCTTCATGAGTTATTAGTTATTTCATTAAAATGTAGATATAATTTTAATGATTATTCACTAATCAAACTAGTTCCTATACTTCGACCCATAAACTTAGGCATCACGTGACACTGGCAGTATAGGCGACAACATTGAATTGAAGACTCAGCTGCAATTCAAGAAGAAATAGAAGAAAAAGTTGCTTAGATAATTCGAGATACGAAAGTATGACAATAGGTACCTACACGAACGCTGGCGTTCGCTTGAGGTTTGATGAATGAACAGTGTCTAGTAGAATTGTGGCCAGAAAGGCTTGTTTGTGGCACTTATCTGCGACTTATTTTTTCAATCTCAATATCAATAGATACCTGTGAGAGGATTTTCGTCAGTTGGTAAAGACGGTAGCGAATGGTTTGTTAAAGATACTCAGCTGTTCACACAATAGATATCTATGGGTCGAGGTTTAGTAACTCCAATAAATATTACAACTAGGTTTATTATAATATTGATTTAAACAGTATGCGATTAAATAGGTGTGTAGTATGTACTCGAAGTGGTTACATGTGTTAGCTAATACTTTAACATTATACAATCGTCAAATAACTTTATTTTCTATAGGGATTTTTTTGTTTTCAATCAAAGTACCATATGGATATTAGGTAGGTGGTACACTAAGTAGGCATGTACGTTAGTGTTGGTAGGCGCGTCGTTATAAGTACAGGTATTTTGTTATTATCGATTGACCGCAAACGAGCAGACGGATTAGGTACCTGATGGTAAGCAATCATGGCAGTTACGGGTGTGTTGCCGATCTTTTGTAGATTGGGTTTCCGGAGATTTAAGGATATTTGTAAAACTATTTGACGATTGCGCGCCCTTACAAATAGGAATATAATATTTCTAATAACACATGTGTAATAACTAATATTTTATAAATCCTGGGCTGCGAAAATATCAAATTATAAAAGAGAACTCGTAATTAACAGTGAAATTTTGTCGTCTCCAAACTAAACAAATATTAACAAAAAGACGTAATTTGCTGCCCATCACAGTTAACCAAAAACGGAATAATAATAACATATAAAAATAGAAAATTATTAAAAAATATATCATAAAAATAACATTTACAATACATGTAACGAATAAACAGTTCCTTACTTCTAATACTTTTGTCCTCATTTTGGTTGTTATTGATTATAATTAAGTACTTTTTTTTCTAAAAACAGATACCTAGGTACAGGCTTACAATGTTTAGTTCTTCGTGATTTCATCAAAATTACTTAATAAAATAAACAACGGATATCGCAAAATTAATCATAATTAATAGCAAAGGTACCATGATAAGTAAATTTAAAAAAGAAGGAAATTAAATTAATAGGGAAATAGAAAGTTAAATTAATCTTAATTAGTTGGACCACGTATGATAGGTTTAAAGCTTTTGTGTAAAAAGATAGTAGAAACATTATAGGTGTATTTAGAATAGGCTTCTAAAAATTTTAAAACATTTCCAAAATAACAGCTTGTTTGCAGGTATTGTTTAGTCCGCTTTGCAGGTCTCTTCTAAGTATTCAATTCGTTTTTTCAACGATGCAATAGTGTTCTCCATTTCATGCTGCGAATCTTCAAGGCCGTTGATGCGTGCTTCATCAATTAAAATGTCATCATCTGTTTCGGTGTCCCTGCGAGCTCGGCGTTTCGCTCTTTCCAGCCCTCCGTTCTCGCCACAAGTTTCACAGTCAGCCCAGTACCGTAAGTCCATTGATGGCAAGTCCTCGCAGGAAACCAATCCGTCTTGAACCTCAGGAAGAAGAAATACGTTTTCGCCAATGGTATCGATATTGTCACCGTTGTCACAAAGAATTCGTGCCAGGCTCGTCTCTTTTAACTGTCGTAGTTGGTCTGGTTTGAATACTGATGGATTTTCATACCAGAACCTATCTCCATCTCGAAGGCGTTGGAACTGTTCCACAAGCAAGCATCTGAATAATGGCCCTACTTTACCACCCTCCACTTGATTTTCAAGGATACCTCCAACCCATACGTCAATATTATGCACTGAACCATAAAGCTCCTTCAATTTATTACGTACCGTTTCATCAGTAATTTCGCCAGCCAAGTCATCAAAGTCATTTACTTCTGACATATTGCAAAACTGACGCCATTTAGTGTACGGAGGAATACCATGATCACGGCTTCGCTGGATATTGATAGCTGCTAAATCAAGAGCTACAGCGTGGGCACTATAGAAAAGCTTTTCAGTTAATTCAGAGTTTAAATTTTGCGTTGGAGTTTTTAGCTTCGCTGGTGTTGTGAACATGCCTCGCAGTAGAGGATCTACGCCACCTTCGTCGACAAGTCTCCACGGTGAGAAAAATGCGTGTCGAAGTAAAAGATGGCCTTCCGCAATTGGTTCAAAGTTTTCATCGTAACGGTGTAGTAATGGATTTATCATAGAATGTCCAAATCGTAAAGCAGCAGTTGCGAAAACATTAGAAACCGACGGATTCAGGTTGGGATCATACTCTTTATATTGGCCTAGTTGTTTTATTCCTTCTGCACCCAAAATAATCGGGAGCCAATGCTCGTAAGTAATGATCTGTATTTGTGCACCTACAATTTTTCTTGCTTCATGATATACTCGATCACCGTCCCAAAATGGATTCAAAACTTTCAGCTGTATGGCAATTCGGTTATGCTCACGCATCCAAATAGTATGCATTGCTGCTAAACCAATTTGTTCGTTCGCTCTGATGTCACCAGCAACAAAACAATTACGATTACTTTCATCCAAATTCCGTCTACAGTCCATTCCATTAATTCCCACGGTAGGAAGCAAGGGCTTTCTGCCAGGGAAAGTCACACCCACACGCAATAAACCATTTTCATTCGTCAAGTCTCGCAAGTCTTCTGCTACGGATTTTTCGAAACCGTACACTTGTGAGGCATCTATAAAGGAAGTCAGTTGATTGATTTGTTCTCGCGGTTGTAGGGTTCCAAATAGTACAGATGTCATACCAGATCCACATACGGCACTCGTTCTGATAAAATCGATACAACGACGATTGGTAATCCGAGGGTCATTTGGAGGAACGTCTATTGGAAAACAAGGCGCTGCATAAGCACAGGTCTTTTTGCAATCTACGCCGTCCCATGTCTGTGAACTCACTGATGGTAAAGCATGATCCAAGTCATGATCTAACCACTGGCCCCATTGCATGACCATGTGGGTCAACTTTTGGTCTTCAGAAATGTCGTCAGTTGTTATAATTGAAGTAGATACTAAACGGGCGCTTGGTAGTGAAAAACCATTATATTTAATATCTTTGTTCCATCCTACAGGTTGACTGAATCCGTTTTCATATATCGGAAAAAGAATTCTTCTAAATCCACTCAGTGATGACCCCCAAGTAGGGTGAGCAAAATTATTACAGCTGCCATCGTAACTGCGGTATTTGCTATGGTAACACATATCAGAACACTCGTTCTTGTCTCTATGAGCGACACAACCAGATAGACGTGCAATTACTTCGAGGTGTTGATTAGATAGTACGTTTTGGTACAAGAATGGTTCAGCTGAGGTTACTTTATGCCCAGATTGAATGAAGTCCCTAACTTTATCTAAAGTTCTTTCATATATTTCAGCAGCACGAGCGACTTCTCTAGCTGGCGCATTCGGGAAACTCGTAATTCGATACAATCGGCTAATATCTGTCTTGGAAGTGTTGTTGTTGTTAAATAACTCATCCATAGTTCGCTCTATAGCAAGGTCTACGTCTCTTGTCGCTTCGGTCAGTGCTATGTTGACGTATTCGTCGCCGGGTATAACACGGTCTTTAACGGTTAGAAAAGCAGATGCAGTATCCCGACCGTATTCGTTGAAAACTGAACATTCATACCTGCCTGTATCTCTTAATGTCAAATTATGCAAGATTAAACTTCCAATTATTGTTATCGAATGTTTTCGGCTGTCATCTAAGTACGAACCATCTTTTCTCCACTCTACAGTGGCAGGAGGCTCACTTTCAATTTCACATGGCAACTGAACTGATGATTCTCTGTAAGCATCGGTGTCCTCTGGTTTTAAAACAATACGTGGTCGAATAATCTCATAGTTTTCAACAGTTAAGAAAGCTGAACCTTCAACATAGCCTTCAGCATTTTCTGCTCTGCAGTGGTATATACCTTCATCATCAGCAGTCACTGACAGAATAGTCAAGTTTTGGTTTTCATTGCTCAAAATAATATTTTCAGTTAAAGGTAAAACTAATGTGTTTCTAAACCAATTGATAAGCGGTTTTGGCACTCCTTTAGCAGTACATATAAATTCGACGTCGTCTCCAATTCTTACCGTTTTGTTATGTGGCTCCAGGATAAATGTGGGCGGAACTAAAAGAAAAAAGAAAGTATAACATTTGGTTAGTTTCAATTGAAACACTAAATAATAATAAAACACTTATATAGTTATGATTATGGAGGATGCAGGGAGTATTCTAATATTGTAATTAGTAATATTTTTGAACTGGATAGCAGAATCTAAATGCCTCAGATTGGCATTAAAACCTAGAAAATTATTATATACATTGAATTATAACAGATATCAAAATAAGAAATCTAAATAAATTAGGCAAGTTAAAACTTACCCATTACTTCAAGGGTTGCAGATGTGTTCACTTTTCCATTGATGTTTTCAGCCAGACACGTGTACAAGCCTGCATCCGACTCTTGGATGTCGTCAATGAAAATAGATCCATTTGGTCGTATTGAAATACGTTCATTCAACAAAATTCTCTCGCCATTAAAAAACCAAGCAACGTGAGGTTTCGGGTGACCATTAGCAGCACAGTCAAAGTTTATAGACTGGTCAAGCTTAGCGAACTGTTTCTGAGGCCGTACGGTGAATACAGGAGCGGCTAAAATAAAACATAAATAGAATTACTTAGACATTAAAATTCACATGAAACTTGCAGTATTTCACTATATCATGTAATTTCAAATTACCTTTTTGCAGATTTGCGCTGTCTCTTTTGTGTTGGACAGTCATTTTAGCAGGTTTAGAGTGCACTTCACCGACTGGATTTTTGGCCATGCATTCAAAATATCCGGTGTCAACATCTGTGATGTCGTGAAGCATTAAAGTTCCGTTTTCCATAACCTCGTACCGGGTTCCGTCGATAGGAATTTCGTTTGAGTCTCGTAGCCAGATTATATCGGGTGTCGGGTCGCCAGTAACGACACAAGTGAACATAGCTGCTTCTCCGAAGTTCACGGTAATGTCTTCAGGATCCTTCTGGATTTCGGGAATTTCTTAAAGGAATATTTTTTTATGTTATTGCTAATTACTATAAAAACAATGTGCATTTAAGAGGTTTCGAAACTTACTGCATTCAAAGTCCCGTTCTTCCATTATAGAAAGTGGCATTCCTGTGACTCGGGCAGGTTGATAACAAGTGGCGTCAATGTACATGTCGTTATGTTGGGCCATCATCTTCACGAGCCACAGCATCGAGCAGTCACATATGAGGGCATTGCTGTCTAAACGTAACTTGCGTAGTTTAGGCATGGCTGAGAATGAACCTGGCGGAATCCTCTTGATATGGTTGTTGTGTAAGTATCTGAAATTAATTTGCTTTGTAAGTTAATTGATTTTTATAGTTCTAACTTTTGTAGATATAACGTAAACTGTCCACTGACATTGTCCCTAGACAGTGTAATTCTTTATTGTCACACTCATATCATTAGCCTATAATGGCGGACTGCTGAAAAAATGTGTCTTCTTACACTGATAAGATTTGAGTGTTATCACCATACATTGGTGATGTCAAATGATCGTTATATATCCTCATACATGAGAAGCCTTTACATATTTGGGGTGCTTCCATACATGTAAACAACTATGTTTATGCTGATAGAAATAATATTTTTTATTATGTAACCCTTTGTGTGTCCGCTTGCACTTTACAATTTTTCTATTCTAAGGTAAGTACTTACAATCTCTCCAATCGTGGCAAATTGGAAAACGTTTGCGGGTCGATTTGGTGGATCTCGTTAATATGCAAGTACCTGTAAAAAAGAGAGAAGAGTTTACATAAAGTTTACTAGGTTTAGTATTTATAAAACTCATATTTTTTTATGTGCTTCTTCTGACAACAAACGGAAAATACATTGTGTTTCAATGTAAATAAGGGAGACTACTACTAAATAAAAGTACCTATATTAGGTATATATATTTACGTAGGTACACGTATATTTCCCATAATTTCTAATCCTTTAACTACTGGCTACCTTACTTCGATGCCCATGTTTCTCTGTAGGATCACTCCTTGAGTGGGACTATTTTAAAAACTAACTTACTTATAAACCTATTAAGTAACTCACGTAAAATGTTCCCCAATACAGTAAGGGCATTTTGTTTATTATTCTTAATTAAACTTTGAAAATCTGCTAATCCTTAGGACAAGCTACAAAATATCACGCAAGGTATATTCTAGTTTGGACACCAGGCATCATACACTATATTATTAATAGCAAAAAACTCATGTTATTTGGAATGTTATTTTGTTTACAGATTGCAAAACAGAAAATCCATTACATTTGTGTCTGCGTGATAGATGGCGATAGGAAACCTGTCCATTCCATTAATTAATTAACGCATTTGTACATATGTACTCAAATATAATAGTGTGTACACAACTAGATTTTTATAAGTGTAAAATATCCGTTGTGCGACATTGCTTATTTAAGAAAGTCTTCGCGTATTACAGCACGATGTTGTCTTAAATAAATTGAAAATAATTTATCATCGTATTATACGTCTCTGTCCATGGTCGCATGCACTTTCCTCGCGAGTGTCGCAATCGATATATGTAGGTATGTGGATTCACTATAACCTTTTTAAATCCGAAAATTGCGTAATCAAAAAACCTGTATTTACTTCTTTTGACCAGAGTAGAGACAATACCAAAAAGCATGCGCGAGATTGCAAACATAAGTACACTTCAGCTGAAGAACTATTTGCCTCAAAGAGCCAATAGACCAGCATAGACGGGGCCCTATAGGGCTGATGTTCAGCTGGAGCTGTAAGGAGCCCTCGGCCTAGAGCAGGAGAAGAAAAGTCTAAAATTCCCTCCGATCACACCCTGGGCGGGAGAAGACACAAAAAAGCTATAGAACTATTTTGTGCGATTCTAGACCCAACAAACGATAGAAATGAATGTGTCCTGTTTACTTAATCCACCTATTTCGTTAAAATTAATGTTCAATTTTAATTAAGCAACCTGTTACTTAATTGTATGGGAAATTATATAGAAGCGTAAGTACATATGAGGCAAAAATATTGGATTAGGTATTTTTAAATTTGAATCCCTACCTAATCCAAAGCGTCAAGGATAAGGTAGGTACGACATAAATTATTTGCACTATCTACACCATCCATTCAAAACGTGGAGTACCTTAAAATTGTTACAATAAGCTATTGAATGGCCTATTTTAAATAACCTTTGCTCATAAAAAACTTAAAACACAAATAATCCATCCATCCAGATCGCTTTGTTCCAAACTGAATATTTCATATCCAATCCACATACGATATTGTCGATTAGGTATTTTTTATTCTGAGCCCGCACCTCCAAAGCGTGGAGGATTAGGTGTCGTATAAAATAATATGGGTGAAATTAGGTATTGAATAAATGTTAGGATTAGGTAGCTGGATTAGGCATTTTTAAATACTAGGATCAGTTGTAACAGGTCCATGTCTAATATGTAGGTAGTATATGGATCTAATTCGCTTAAGTAATATGTAGATAAGATGTCTAGCTAACTTATTCCTCTAAGTTAGTCACAAAGGTCAAAGCTTTGGCACTCTTTGAAGTTCCTACATCGAGCTTTATAAGAAATCGAACTGGTGTACACACACAAGAAAAAAATATGGAGATAAGTTTTTATGTTTTATACAAAATGTCTTATTTTAGGTAAGAAGTTACATTATATAAAACGACTTATGGATTTATTGGTTTTTTTTATTGATCGATTATAACACAATTTATTTTATCTGTTAGGAACTTACTTTGTAGTATGTAGGTAAAGAAATATAGTTAAGTTAATAATAAAGAAAGCAAAATTTTAATTACTTTGTCAAATTGGGATTAGTTATCTATAATGGCATAGTTATTTGTGATTTTGATAAATAAATATATCCGTAAGTTGTTTTTACGAGTAAAACCATCTAATGTCTTTGGTCCTTCTCGTGTTCTTTTCTATACTGCAATTCTGGGTTTCAACTGTAGTTTCTAAGCAACAAATGAAGCCCTACCTACTGAGAGCTAGGTGCTTATTAGGTTTTTGCAAAGTTGTGATTTCACATCGATACTTATACAAGTAAAATCTTGATCTTATAATTACAAAAAGGTCCACAAATTCTTTCTGAAAGTTTATTTTGCAGTCACTTCCGAAGGCGTGGTGAAATTTAAGATTCATATTTCAGAAATAAGCCACTGTGTACATCTATGGATTTTAACACCGCAGCTGCCGCGGATACGGATGACAAAAGTGATGAGAATTATGTCAGGTGATTCTTTTTTAACGGGATTTATTATTGTTTATTTGCTTTTAAAGCGTGCCTTGCGAGGTGATCTGCAAAATGATTTTCATTTGTAATTTATTTATTATTTTCAGCATAGTATTTACTGCTGGGATTTTACCAACTATTTTATCTTTAACATATTCAATTTCATGACATTATTTTTTTATATTATTTTGGTAATAAAATACAATAATGAACTAACCCAGTACCAACGTTCATTCATACCAAACAGAGAATGAATTACGGGCTTTTCTCTAGTTCTACTGTCTTCATTATTTTGTCAATCTAACCTGCTCAATCTATATTATTATGTTTCTGATTTATTGTTCATTTAAGTATCCGCTTTAAGAGTTGGATTACCCTAACTTACGTAATACGATTACAAGCACTGGGTAATATTTATTTTGCTTCAGAGCAAACTTATAGCCACTCGTAGATACGAAAGCGGTCTGTCTATAAAAGTCTAGCAATACGGTAAACTTGTTGAGTATCTGAAGCACTCCAAGTTTCCACCATCAAGAGATGAACAGATTAAAGTATCCATTATATATTTTAAGAAAAGAAGTTAATACAATAAAGATCCTATCGTAGATTTTCCAGTCCACGAACATCGGATAAATTAAGGTAAAAGTAGTGTTCAAGACTTAAGTTTATGAAGCGCCTCTGCGAAAGTAAGATCTTGAAAATACTCGTAGCCTGTAAGTACGTACGTATGGACTCCTTTCACTTGAACATTGAACTTAGCTCAACTTGATGCTCGATAGATACTACTTTCCATGTTTCAAGTGGGAATCATCAAGCTCATTATAATTAAGTATCTAGGTACATTTTAATTTTCTTTTAACTAGTTAAGTGTGATACTATTATATTGAAAATGCATTTAGTAACAGCTTAGCACATGGAGAAGGCGATTTCCCAATTCCTCTTGCTCCGCTACATGGCCTGAACTAAGAGTAGACGCGAAAAGTCGCAGCTGCCAATCGCTTTCCTGAGGCCACACATCGTAGGCCACGTATGCCACACTGCTACACTATGTTCCACCGTGTCTTCCGGGTTGATCATACTCAAAGAAACTGCGTTCAAGCCTAAACCTGAACTTGCCTGTGAAGTATATATAAGCATAAATAGAATAAATATATATATAAGTCTGTAAGTATAAGCAGGATATTCCAGACCCTCTTAGATAGATAGCAATAGTGTGGCTGTAATTTGTTCAGGGCTAAATTTACCTCTATAAATTGTTTCGGAAAGTATTAAATAGGTTATATATAAATAAAAAAAATAATAATAAAAAATAGGTTATATAATAGGTTATACCATTAGCAAATGAGGGTCGTATTTACTTAGATAAAACCTTGAATTATATAGCAGTGTAATCTTAATAATATCTAACCACAACCTAGAATGTAGACGGCGTGATTATGAGTTCTTAATTGAACTGAAGTGCCTGAACTTTGACTACTAAGGCTTAACCAACGATAAGTGGCTGTTCTCATTTGTAAAACTATTGGTACCCAATATATGTACGGAAGGCAGTTCGAATTTTATTACTATCAAGACCACCATGGATAGATCGCGGTATCTTTAATAATGTCTTCAGAATAATAACTATTTCTTGTAAAAAGTAAGAGAGATGTCCCTCAAAGCATTCTCATATCCAAACTCAATTAAGTGCCAGTGAGTCTAAAGCGAATTCTTTTTATTTAACATCGATGGTTATAAGACAACTAGACTGTGAATAAAAATGTGTTTCATCCACAGGTACTTAATTGTTTTGGACACTGTTGCACAAAACCTGTGACGAAACCTAGTTCCTAATATTACTTTCAAAACACCAATCCGCCATCCGTGAATAATGCTCAATTTACCAGTATAAGGAGAGGCCTTTGCCCAATAGTGGCATGATGAGACGTTGCATACGTATAATCATCAGCCGGTTCCCCCAACCCTTATGATAAGTTATTACTAAGACACAAATAAGCAAAGCAAACCTTCCAGACTGTCTGTCTGACTGACTGATGTATCTTAGTAGACAAAATAAGCATCGTAGCTCGTTCACCAATTATTTTGAAGATATGTCTCATTGCATTTAACTGCACTGTTGGCTTGGTGGATAGACAACTGCTGTGCAACGTATCGCGGGTTTCCTGGTCTTGTATTCTGGCCTGGGTCTGGGTGTGATGTGTATGTGACACAAAAACAGTTTGTAAACGCGCCCACGACACAGGTGATAATGATAATCCCAATATTTAAAAATATAAATAAATATATTTTTTGTTGGAGCCCATTGGTAGCTGGCTAGTGCATTACAACCCAGGTCTATGCCACTACTAATGTAACTAAACTATATTCGATGCATTCACCCGAATAAACACTTAGCTCATTAAATTAAGAGTACAAAATAAATCACTATCAATTTTGTATCGTAAAATTTAAAATGACGCGAACAGATGTTGGTTGGCCTGCGTCATAATCGACTACA